TTATTACTTTTATTAGGTTTATACTCCAACTCGCGAACAAACGCCCGGTCGGCCAAAATGAACTNATTAGGTTTATACTCAAACTCGTGAACAAACGCCTCGGTCGGCCAAAATGACCTATTTAGTAGTGAATCAAAATCTTCGGAAGCTACATCAATTTTAAAACATGAAATATCGCGATCGTATTTAAGATTAAATTTACGAATAAATACATCATTAGTTCTAATTTTAGTGGATATGTATGACTTTATACCATCCGAAGAAGTATCTTTAGCAAATCTAGAGACAAAGATCGACCTTTTCAGAGGAATTAGAACCAACTTTTTGGTAATGATGGCTGATGTGCGGGCTCCGAATTATTCGGAGGATCAAAGTTAGACAGTGCAGCTTGAGATGTTGGTGGCAACACAGTTAAATAAACGGTTTGACTATTTTTAGAAGTAGACCTAGTGGATATGGCTTTAGATACCGCTGGCTCCAATGCCTGAGGGCATGGAGAAGATAGACTAATAAGTTCCAAGGACTGGGATATATGCAGGTGTCCATCAAGGCAGTGTTCTAGGACCCATATTGTACGTAATATACACTCGTGATTTGCCAATTGATGATATTCTAACCTAAAAAAATCTAAAAAGTTAGAGCTATGCCTAAGTTCTTGGAGGATAAAGATTAAGGAAAGCAATCGTGTTCAGACAACATTTACTTTGAAGAAAGAAACTTGCCCACCACTAAAAATAAACAGCAAGGCTATACCACAAAAAGATAATGTAAAATACCTTGGGATGACACTAGATAGAAGACTTACCTGCAAAAAGCTAATAGAAACCAAAATTTCTCAAGCGAAACTAACACAAGCAAGCCTTCAAAGGGTTATAGGACACAAATCTAAATTAGATAACAAGATGTTGCTTTTTAATATGATGATTAAACCATGTTGGGCATATGGAATCGGGCTTTGGGGCACAGCGTGCAATTCCATTTTGAATAGACTTCAAAGACTTCAGTCAAAAATTTTACGCGCCATATGCGGAGCACCCTGGTACATAAAAAATACGAATATCCACAAAGATTTAATGTAAATACGGTGCATGAGGACATCAGAGGGCTAAGCACCAGTTACTCAGCACAGTTAATGAACCATCCAAATCGACTACTGAGAGATCTTGTTAGCCGAAGTTTTAAATTTAATAGTAGTTTTTAAGATTTGCAAACTGATTGTTAGTTTCGAAAGAAATATTCAATAAATAAAAACAAAAAAAAAAAACAAAAAAAAAACAAAAAAAAATACCACATCTCGCTGCTTTTGAACTTGTTAGTATCGGGCTGGTTCGTTTCTGGCGATAAAGATCTAGTACGGAACTATAAATTTGGTACACCAGTTAGGGGTTTCCTACAGGGTTCGACATCGCTGTTGGTGGCATGAGCTTGCTGCTGTGTATACATGTGTGTGTACAAATTTCAAAATAATTGGGAAGAATCTCCACATACACAGCAATCATACAACCTAATGTATACTAGGCACTTAGCTTTAAATTTTAATATTTTCACAGGTCCCAGGGTTTATCTTCATCTAAAGCAGGGATCACAAGATTTGTTCATTTTAACAGTTACAGAGTGTGCATGATAGATTCTATTGTGAATACCTTGGTAAGATAAAATACCGGAAATTATTTTGAATAAATCAGCTGTTAACCTTGGGATATTTCTATACGAATTTCTGTAGAGCACCTACCTGGCGTGTGGTTTGTACTTGAACTGAATGCTTAAATTAAATAAGACACCGATTTATTTCTGATAATGACCCTAATTCGTGACACTTTGGGCGCGTTCATAAGACTAAGATTGTCTAACCGTTTACTGTTTGTCCTCGAAATGCAAAGTTGCGTAGTTCCGCTCAGTTCAACAGTTGCCAACTTTCCGCCATTTTTTCCATCGTACAATTTTTTCGCTACCTGGACTCAACGTGTTTTGCTCAGCCTAAACAGATGATCGAAAGGATTTACGCCGCTTATATTAAATGTACTACGCTCATAAATGGAGAGTCAGCCCTTAATAAAAATATTATGTCCTGGTTATATAAAACAAAACTAAAAAGTTCAAAATAAAATAATGTTAAAAAAATATTTTTTAAAAACAAGCTTTTAATTAACATGTACAATTAAAGGAATAAAATAAAGTAGTGTAACAAAAGATTTTCTAGCAAGAAAATTTTTTTAAAACTGCACTAAAATGAATAAAATAACATAAGTTAAGGTCTCGTTAAAGTTACTTAAAGCCACTTAGTAAAAGGAGTTCCTCAAACTCTAATGAAAATTACATACAATTTATACTAATTTACTTCGTTTTTAAAAAAGCTTTTAAAGTTTACGACAAACAACTATATGACACTTACGACACCGTTGTGAATACCTCAATTGATTTAAAGATTCGTTAAAGATGGATATGAAGTTCCTTAACTTGATGTTATTTAACCTTTTAAACTAGCTTAATATAGGATTAAAGTAATTTGCACGTAGTCATAGTCGAAATAAAGTCACCGTAAAGTTGGTTGCAGTTATTTCTTACAGACATCCTATTGGAAACATACAGCACCTTCTTTTTTTCTAAATTATTCTACCCCATTAGTAGAAGGCATTGGGTGTACGAATTTGTTCTAACGTCAGGAGTTGAAGACTTGCTCTAGCTTCCTTGAAGGGATTTCAGACCGTAAAGTTTATATAATTTATTCATATTGTGTTTGTTTTTTACACACCTTTNTAGTCTCTTAAAACTTCCACCAATGCCATCGCAAGCAGATTTCCCATGTGAACTTGCTAAAAAGTTCAATTCTGCCATTTCCTTGAAGGGATTTCAGACCTATAGTAAAGTTTATATAATTTATTCATATTGTGTTTGTTTTTTACACACCTTTCCTCTTTCAAAAATATACAATTTCATAAAATTTCAATGTCTATTTATCATATTGCTCGAGCGTTAGACGATCTAGAGTCTACACGCCTAAGTAGCCCATTACGCTGGCATTGTAGAGAATGTTTTTTGTAAAAAAAAAACAAATTTTTAAATGCTATAATCACAAAAAATCAAAACGAAAAATGTTTACTTATTTTTTTTTTGTTTTTTTATACGTTGCACATTAATGTACAAAATGTATAATTTAAGCCCATAATAAGACGGAAGAAATACATTTTCACTAAGTTTCGTTAAAAGATTTCCAAGATACAGCACTTTAAAGAAAGGTATCTATGACGTTTTCTTGAAATTTAAGTTCCGTGTAAATAGGCAACCCTATGTCATATCGGCAAAATATGCTGGACGTATATTCCCTAGACCTTTCCAACTACTTTAACTTTCATCCAAATGCTTAGAGGTGGCCGCGGTGAAATGCCTCAAAATGTATCAAAAAAGGACAATNCACGCCTAAGTAGCCCATTACGCTGGGATTGTAGAGAATGTTTTTTGAAAAAAAAAACAAATTTTTAAATGCTATAATCACAAAAAATCAAAACGAAAAATGTTTACTTATTTTTTTTTTTTTTTTTTTTACGTTGCACATTAATGTACAAAATGTATAATTTAAGCCCATAATAAGACGGAAGAAATACATTTTTTTCACTAAGTTTCGTTAAAAGATTTCCAAGATACAGCACTTTAAAGAAAGGTATCTATGACGTTTTCTTGAAATTTAAGTTCCGTGTAAATAGGCAACCCTATGTCATATCGGCAAAATATGCTGGACGTATATTCCCTAGACCTTAAATCTCTTCAACTTTCATCCAAATGCTTAGAGGTGGCCGCGGTGAAATGCCTCAAAATGTATCAAAAAAGGACAATTATACCAACAATTTCATCATTGTCTTATATACAGTGAAACCCCCTTAAGTACCCCCCCCCACCCCCCGCCGCTTAAGTACCTAACCCGCTTAAGCTCCCAACATTTTTGGACACCATGAATTTTTTAATGTATTCTGAAAAAAATTCCTCTTTTAAGTACCTCCGCACTTATGTACCCAGCCCGCCTAAGTACCTACATTTTTCGTACTACATTTACCATTTTACTTATAATTTTCCCCCTTTAAGTGCTTTTTTGAAATTTCTTTAAACATTTACATATTTTTAGCCACTTGAAACCTGCGCATTATTACTCTAAAATTGAATGGGCTATAAAACTGCATACTCATAAAAAATTTTAACACTTCTGAAAAACAAGTNGAAATTCAGTGGCAGCGCTAGACACTTTTGGCAAAAGGAATTCTAAAATATCAATGGTAATTTTTAGCCACTTGAAACCTGCGCATTATTACACTAAAATTGAATGGGCCATAAAACTGCATACTCATAAAAAATTTTAACACTTCTGAAAAACAAGTTTGAAATTTTGATGACCTTTGTTCAGTGTTCTGCAAAATTGTATGCTTATATGTTAAGTTTCTATAAAATTTGTTAGGGAATGAATTTTTTTTAATTGAAACATTTTAAAAATTAATAAAGTAACATAAAAGGCAAACAATATCATTTTAATGTTGTTCCAAAATGATATACCCTGTTTTTGGGTATGTATAAATATATGTAATCAATGACTTTTAAATCAAATTCTTGTGAAATTGACATAACAATGTTTTAACTGTTTTTTTTTTAAACAAAGTTTTCCTTTATATGTTTACTTCTTTAAATAATGCTACAATCTTGGTTTTAAATTACGTATACTTTAATAAATGTTCATGTTTTACTCAATTTTATTTACATCATGTTCGCTTAAGTACCCGAATCGAGGTACTTAAGCGGGTTCTTTTAAGTACCCAACCCGCCTAAGTACCTCAAAAAGCTGACATTTTTCGTGAGGTACTTAAGCGGGTTTACTGTATAAACCTTGCTTTTCAATAACTTTTTGGTAGCGTTTTGGAAAGGTACACATTTGACATTATGGAAGTCAGTTAACATTTGAGGTTACAAACGGCACTAAATGCCTTTTGAATCCAATATAAGTTTAGAACTCTTACCTGTATCTTCTTTTAATGCATTGTCTATCGTAAGCTCGGTGTTTTCATTGTCTAATGTTACACGGCCATCTTGTTTTAATGGATATCCATTGAACAACCATAAAATATTGGGTGTAGGGTCTCCGTCTGCATCACATTCTAAGGTAAAGGATTTTCCAGAATTTATTACTTGACTCTCAGGTGCCAATATGATTTCAGGAAGCTCTGTAATTAGAAGGAGGATATCAAATTAAGATATGTTTTGAAAAGTTCTTTTTAAATAGCAAAAAACTCTATTTGTTTGAGTATTCAAAAATATGCATTTAGAAAGAAAGTTATTGAACAAAACCTTCAGTTCATTTATCGTTCCGACATATTAGCGTCGTGCACATTTATAAGTTGTTCTTTTTCTTGGTAGTTAAAATATATGTATAATCAGTTGTTGACAGTGTGTCTTTGAAATGATGACATACAGAAAATCTACGAAAGCAGAAGGACGAACGAAAAGAGAAATGGAAAGGCATTTCCAGTATAAACTATTTTTTGGAAACTATCTGTTTCATTATGCACACGTAAATCTATTACTGTATACATATATCGTAGGCTCCAGTTTCGTAAATTTATGAAAATTATATCGCTGAATCCGATTAGCTAAGGACGTTAGTTCAAAAATCAACGGGTTAGTTTTAATCTTATCTTACTAATATTATAAATGTGAAAGTTTGTATTTTTGGATGTTTGGGAAATCACCACGCGGAAAGGGCTGAACGGATTTGCATGCAATTTTGTACGCAGATAGCTTATGGGCCAGATTGGTTAATAGGTATTTTTTTTAAGAGTTTCCACCTGTTAAAATAGTTTAGTTTATTTAATATGCGGGAACGACTGAACAGATTTGCATGAAAATTTGCACACAGATAGCTTATGACCTAGATTGGAAAGTAAGCTACTTTTTTTAAAGAGTTGGCAGCTGTTAAAAAAGTTTAATTCAATTAATACGCGGAAACGAGTGAACGGTTTTGCATGAAATTTTGCACACAGATAGCTAATTATCTAGGTTGGAAAGTAAGCTACTTTTTTAAGAGGTCCACCTGTTAGAAATGTTTAATTTAACTAATACGTGGAAATGATTTGCATGGAGGTTTTCACACAAATAGCTTACAAGCTAGGTTGGAAAATAGGCTACTTTTTCTAAGAGTTGCCACCTGCTAAAAAATTTAATTAAACTAATACGCGGAAAAGTCTGAACGGATTTGCATAAAATTTTGCAAGCAGATAGCTTATGACCTACAGTGGAAAATAGGCTAATTTTTTGGAAGAGTTGCCACCTGTTAAAAAAGTTTAATTAAATTAATACGCGAAAATGACTCAACAGATTTGCATGAAAGTTTGCACATAGATAGCATATGACCTAGATTGGAAAATAGGCTACTATTTTAAAAGTTGCCACCTATTAGGAATGTTTAATTAAATTAATACGCGAAAATGACTCAACAGATTTGCATGAAAGTTTGCACATAGATAGCATATGACCTAGATTGGAAAATAGGCTACTTTTTTAAGGATTTGCCACCTGTTTAAGAATTAAGTTTTGCTCACAGATGGTTTATGACCTGGATTGAAAATTAGGCTACTTCATTAACCGGTTTCCCGATTAGAACGAAATTTGCTACACTTACTACGGATTTCGCAAGGATGGTCTTAGACTGAAAGTAAGTTCGATAATTCAAGGCCCCTCCCATACAAATTGGAATTTCCTTATTACATATGTATTTCTGGAAGTATTAGTGGGAGAGAACTGGAACTTGGTATAGAGATACGTATGTGAAATCAATGTTGACATTAATCGATTGATTTTTTAATCAATCAGTTAATTCGATTAAAATCAATCCGATTACAGTTAATCATGATTTATTTTAATCTGACTAAACAGTTAATCGTAACCGCGATTAAAAAAAATTAACTCAATAACTCTTAATTTGATCAAGTAGGTTAGGTGATTAATTAATTTATGCTTGAATTTTCCTGTGCACACAAAGCAAGTTAATCCGGTATGGCTAAGTCGGATTTCCTCATCAATCTGAGCAATTTGGTGTGCATTTTCAGATCTGTACCAACAAACGTTTTACAAACTAGGTTTATAAAAGTTCCCAGTTAATCTATTACTATTAACAATAATTATAATTTTTTTTACATGCTTTTTATTATTATGTGCTTTTTATAAGCGTAAAACGCAAAATAATTACTATAACTGGTATTTGGTTTCAAATTCGGACAAACTAGACAACTTAATCAGATTTTATTTTTAATTGGATTAACGATTGATGATTAAAGTTAATTAATAGTAATCGCAGCCAGCGATTAAGGATTAAAAAAATTTAGTCATTAATCGTACAGTTGATTACAACTAATTAATTTTAACCGTCAAAAGCGATTAACATATTAATCATTAATTTTTAATCGTTAATCAGATTACCGTTTTGCCAACACTGTGTGAAATCATATTCATATTCACGGAGAAAAATGGACGTTTTTGAAAAATGGGCGTAGCACCTCCCATACTGACTAAAAGTTTCATATTGCATATCACTTCAAATGTTTGGGTTAAAGTACTCAAGCTTGGTATGGAAATACATATGTATGTATGTATGTGAAACTAATACCATACTCATGGAGAAAAATTAAAGTTATTGGAAAAGGTGGCGTGGCAACTCCCATGCAAATTCATTTTTCTGTGCTACATATCTCTGGAGGAGTTTATTGCCGAGGACTGGAACTTAGCACCGATATGTGTATACAAAATTAATTCCATACTTATGGAGAAAAATTTGCTTTATTCGAAAAGGGGACATGGTTCCTCCCGTACAAATTTACTGTTTTATACTGCATATCTCTAGAGGTGTTCATGGTAGAGTACTGG